ACAATGTTTTATAATCCGAAGCTAATTGTAATCCAACACCAGAAATACCCATTAGGTCATCTGACGAAACAAAAGTTGTCATTTTATGGAAACACTGTACATATGTTTATGATTTTGCGTGACAATCATGTTTACATTTATTCGTTGCAGTTACAGGGAGTTTTCACTTTTCAAGAGTTCGAGGCGTTTTAAAAAGGGTTGCTAGTTCTAAAAAAACATGTCTTTAAATTACTTATGGACTTTAAATTCGCTCATGGTTGTTATTATTATTTCCAAGTGGTTGCACATGCTTTATGCCGGTTCGTATGTAATTATCCCTCTTTTGCAAAGTTCGGCGTATTGCACGAGTTAAGTTATCCTATATTCGTACGGAATGATGTTCTCCACTCATTGCCTTCTCTATTTACATCCGTAAGCTAAAATTGTCATAGCAATTTTCGCGTTCTCTCCGTGGCAGAATCGCAGCGTTAACTGCTAAGCAAAAGAGTGAGCCTATTCTGTGACGTTAGAACAGCCAACTGTAGTTAAAATCACCCCCCTTAAAAGCTTTTCCCACAAAACCCCTTCGCGCAAGCCTGAGGCCCTTAAAACAAGATGCCTCGATTAAAAGCTCCCGGAGAAGACAGACGCTAATGAAACGTGCGTCAGATAGCTTAATCTGACTGTCACAGCCAGAGTGGATTTGATGAGAAGCTGAATTTTATCCTAGGAGACGTGAGTGTCATGATGAATATTTCAGTGATAATATGTTGTCAGCGTTTGTCGGCTGTATGCGAATACGGATGACAAGATTTGGTAGGGCAGTTGATTGCATAATATAGTTCTAGCCTCCAACTGATTAGCTGCAGACTATGGATAAAAACAATTTTAAGACTAGAATGCCGAATGTATTGACTACAAGTAGCAATTTGGGTAATGCATCTTCTACGGTGATTTCGATTTGCAGTACGATTACATAGCCCCGATAAGGGTTCAGCAGAAAGGTACAGATGGACATTACTCAGGAGCTTCAAATGGAACTGTAACCGAGACGAAAGAAAGGTGCACCTCCCGAACCAGGTCACATTAATAGATTGGGTATTGCAAGTTCCAACTCACGGCTTAAACTGCATACATATCCTGTTAAGTAAACGACATTGTCAAGAGTAGAATGCAGTCTAACGTTAATTCACTCATAATTACGATTTTATCTAATATACGGTGATATATTAATATATGATCTACGTATCGTGCAAAGGAATAAAGAGCCTTTATAAATAAACAGAAGTGAGTTTTCGCTAGTTTTCTCCTGAAACCATCAGCTAATTGAGCAGAAAGGGCTAATCCCAAAACTTCACTGTTGATCTGGCGATCAGACTGACCACTGGGGCCCCATTAATAATTTAACCTGCAGCT